GACCAAAATGTTAATGAGGCAATGCCTTCTTTGAAGATTACCAATGATTATGTTTTCTAAAGCACTGTGATTGAGTTTGCTTTTACATAATTTTATTTGCTCGACTTTTTATATAATATTGTGCAGGTATTTGCGATAGACAGTTGGTACTTAAATGGGAGGTGGGTCTTTTTATTTTGCCTTGGTGCTTTGGAAATGAAATGTTACGAACAAGGAGTATATAATTTCTTATCTACACTTTTAGAGCTGATTTCAATCAGGTGTCCAAAATGTGGAACTGAGCATTAACTTATACTTCTGGAAGTACTGGTAATACCACTTTTAAAAGGTCCCAAATTTGTCACTAAATTCTAAGATATATGGTACACTTGACTCACAACTTGGCAACATGTTTAGGTAACCCATTAAATGTGTCTAGAAATTCTGACAATGGAAACTTTGCAATTTGCAGTGGACATAGATAAATGTTAAAGCAATAATTTTTGTTTGAATTACTGAATTAAATTTATAGGTGGAACTTGCGGTTAAGTATTAAATACATATTGCTATTAGCTAGTAATAGCATGGGTTTCTCCAAGCAAGAGGCAGAATTGAAAATTATATTTGTTCAATTTGTTTATTAATTTATACCAAGTTTAAATAAATCTTAAGGACCATTATCACTTAAATAATGTTACATCTAGGACTTTCAAATTATTATAACTGAATGAAATTGTTTGTATACAAAAAGCATATATGTATACTCTGACCTCCCCTACCCCATATTTGTTTTATTTTCCATGTTTACTTACAGTGACTGGAAATTATTTACTGTATTTGATTTTTGCCTATCTTTCTGTCATAAAGAATTGATCAATATATTACTATGTGATTTGAACTATAGTTGATTTAACAAGTGTCATCGTCCAACTGTTTAGAAATCATAACCTCTGATATTTGTAAACACCCACCCTCAAAGCCCGGACAAGTCAGTGTCTCTGCGTTTTGTGTGGAGATGGAAGGCCCGGTGGACCCTTTACTGTCCTGATAAGGAAGGGGAAGCACAATGGAAATACACCTGAACTGTTTTATTGCAGTCATTTTCTTCATATCTGAAATTGTATTATTTCATATTTTGAATAAAAATGAAAAAAAATAAATAAATGGCAAAGATGTAAACCCATGGCTTTACAAGTGAGTTTCATTTTAATGATGACCTGGGGTCCTTAGGCACTGGTGACAATAGAGGGCTAGGGCTATGTCTGGGAGAAGCAAAACAGACTTAGAATTGTTCCTCTCAGCAGTAGAACTCTGTTTCTTCTGTGAATCCTGCCGACATTTCGGAACCCTTCTTTAAGTCTAATTTATTAAGCAGCTAAATCAATATGCTCTTTCTAACACGTTTAGACTCCCGGTTATCTATGATAAGGAGCCCAGGTGGCACAGTGGGTAAAACGCTGACTGACACTCAAAAAATCAGTGGTTTGAACTCACCTGCCCCTCTGCAAAAAAAAGAGATGTGCAGTTGGCTGGCTTTGAAGATTACAGCTTTGGAAGCCCTTAGGGGCAGTTGTTCTCTCCTATAGAGTCATTATGAGCCATGATTGATTCAACTGCATTGGGTTTTGTCTGATGGAAGGCCCCCAACCTGGAGAATGCTCCTCCTCAGTGGGTGGTTCTTGGACTCTTCCTGATGGCTAGTCTCTGCCACTCAAGTTTCAGTGTTGCAATCAAGTAGCCTATGATTTTTGAAGTTGTCAGCTGACAGATTGATTAAAAACGTTGCTGCAGTATTACAGAGACCTAAGCTGCTGGTCTAGGGACCCTAGATCTGCGTTTGAGTTTTATAGCAGTAGGGTTTCCTACTCATGTTATCTGGGTAGAGCAGAGGCTCTATAGCCAATGTTGGTATTAAATGACATAATAGGCTACCCATTTCCATATCTTACCTGAAAAGGCATGTGTTAAAACTCAAGAGTCAGACAGAAGAAATAGACATTTAGAATTTGTGCCAGTAGTTACGTCATGAGTAGGATTTCTTAAACTTTTGTATATGGTAGGATTGTTAGCATTTTTGAGTTTCTGTTGTATGAGTCACAATTTCTGTCTATTGGCTTTACTTAAAAGGAAGTACACTTGCTCTAGGCTTGTCATGTTTTGTGTGTACAGAATCAGTGGTAAAACCCAGTGCTTAGTTTTGACAGGTGTCTCCTGTGTGCCGTAGAAAAGCATCATCTGCTAGCTTGTATAGCCCAAACTCAAGGGGAATTGGACTTTGGTTTCATCTTTTTTTTGTCTTTTTCATATTTTTCAATTGTGGTAAGTATATATGTAGCAAAACATTTTCTGTTTCAACATTCTTCACATGTACAATTCTGTGATATTGTTTCCATCATGTTCTGTAATGATGAATTATTTGTTTGCATATTTCCCATCATCCTTAATAGAAGCTCAGGAGTCGCCTTTCTCCCCTCCCTATTTCTTGCCCCTGATAGCCACTAATAAACTTAGGTCTGTATATACTTGCCTAGTCTAGATATTTCATATAAATGGAATCATAAAACAGAGGTCCTTTTGTGACTTATTTCACTCAGCATGATGTTTTGACTTTAGCCTTTGTGTCACCAGGGTCCTACCGTCTAGGCCCATTGAAGGGCAAGCATTGGACTGGGAACCACAAGGTCGGCAGTTCAAACCCACCAGTTGCTCCTTGGAAACCCTATACAGGGTCACTGAGTTGGAACCAACTTGACGGTACTTCACCACCATCACCACGCCGTCCTACAGCGCCAAACCAGGGCTCACACCAGCGGTTTAGAGGAAGAGAAAATCCAGACCAACCAGGTTCTGCACAGCATTCACATAGCATTGCATTAAAAATAAACGACTCTGGTTCTGTGTGGCTTCCTCCTTCATTCCATTCAGTATCTTTTGTTAAGTAAATTGCAACCTTAATCTAGAAACAAGTACACAAATGAATAAACTAGACTCAAGCCCTATGCTGAGTGCTGGAGGAAAAAGTGAATCAAGTCTATCCTTGTGGTACCCATAGTCAGTCAGAGAAGAAACAGAATTAAAATGAAGTGTGATGCTATCAGGATAGGCTGACAACTGGACTTCAATTTTTTTTTTTTTTTTTTTTAATGGTGAAAATAATTTAGGCTTCTTACAACAGCAGCTAACAGTGAGCGGTTCCTATGGTTCACATACTCACAGTCATGTGTGTGCACACTAACCCAATAGTAAACAAAGGTAGAAACTATTGTCATCCTCAAGGGGTCCTGGTGGCAGAGTAGATTAAGCATTGGGCTGCACCTGCAAGGTTGCAGTTCAAACCCACCAACTGCTGAATGGAAAACATTGAGTCTGTTCCTTAAAGATCTGCAGTCTTGGAAACCCTATGGAGCACATTTACTCTGTGCTATTGAGTCACTATGAGCTAGAATCAGCAGTGGGTTTGTTTTGGTATTGTTATCCCCATTTTACAAATAAGGAAATGGAAGCAGAAGAGTTTTAAGTTGTGCAAGGTCATATAGCTATGGGAGCTGAGATTTGATTTGAGGCAAAATTGGCTCCT